GGACTTGGGGAAGTACCCCAAGTGCCTGTACTGGGTCGAGTACCCATGGGACTTTAGGCCTGTGTTACCCCAAGGACACAGGGCCGCGAGACAGTCCATTCTTGGGGTGGTGGCGGCACGTTACCCCCAGACTAGCGAGTGTGCTCCGGGAGAGGGGTCGGCCGGACATAAGGCGCCCCTAGGGAGGCATTTGGAGCCTGGAAGGTGGTCGGGCGCAGGGAGGTGGGCGGCTCAACGCAGGAGCACCCCCTACTGGCCCGCCTCACATGGTGGAAACAGCGGAGGGATACGAATACCCAGCTGTGTTCGTGAGGTGGGATCTCTGCACCCGCCACACTGCCCATCAGAACAAGCGGCTGATGGAAGCAGCAGTTTAAGGCTGCCTGGCTTGGGGTGACAAAGGAAACCAGTAGGTAGTAAGTTCAAAACAAACACCAGGAAGTTGTTTATCTGGCTCTTAGTCAGAACTTCCTGGACCTTCAATGTTGCAGGTTGCAAGGGAAAACAGGGGAAAACCCTGCTCAGACCTGGTCGCTCTCCCTTCCAGCCTCTGCTCTCTGTCACCCATCGTGTGACACTGGGCAGGACGGAACTAGGGTCTGACCAAGTGAAAGGCAGCTCTTATGTTCTTATGGCTCCATCTCAGCCCTTCCTGAATTCCAAGTTTAGTAAACCTCAAACAGCTGGAAAACAGGAAATGAAGACTTAAGATGCTCGCCCACGCACCCTTAACCCTGCCCTCCGGAGCCGGCAGTGACACTGAGTGACCTGCACGCACTCCAGCTCCAGACAGATACCTGAGAGCAACAGGGGGTGGCCAAGCTCCTCTGGGGAAAGTATGGCCTTCTCCTGGACCCTGCCTGGGAGATGACCGGGGAGAGGCACAGTGCAGCCAGGGAGCTGGGCCACGTGTGGGCTCTCATGGTAGGGTACAGTGGGGCCTTTGCTATGCAACTGGTGAGCAGGGAGGTGAGGGGAGAGCTTCAGTTGTGCAGGGGTGAGTGTGCTTGGGGAGAAGGGTCTGTAAATGGCACCAGCCCTGGGGATGCCCCAGTGCAGCGGGTTGCGCGAATGCAGGGCAGGTGCTGATAGCTCCATGCAGGACATGGAAGGCGTTACAAGGGCGCAGGGTATCGTCCAGACAGATTCACTCCACCTTAGCCACAGACTCAGCCACTTCTCTACATAAAATTATAGCAGAGATGTAGAATCTCTGCCCTCCAGAGCTGGCAGGGGAGGAAGGAAGACCCGGGAAACTACAGGCTTGTTAGTTTTACCTCGGTCTTGGGGAAGCTCTTTGAGAAGATTATCCAGAAGCACATCTGCGAGGGACCAGCAGGGGAGACTATGTTTAGGGGCAACCAACACGGGTTCAT